CAAGTAGGCACGAGGAAGCATTATTACAAGCAAGCAAGTGAAGTGAGCAGACTGACGTCTTAACTGGCAGTTGGTGTGACAAATGAGCGACTTGACACAACCAGATGCTTTTGAGAGGCTAATAACTTTTTCCCTATATAAGATAGAGACCTAATTCTTTTGAATCTGATATTCTCATGAAATAAATTATGTTGTTAACCATTTGTTTCACTGAAATTCCATGGGAACCCCCCAGAAAGTCAAGGTATATGAGGGGATGCTTGGCCAATTTTCGATGCTTGTTCAACTTGAGAAGCGAATTGCATGAGATTTTCCGTTGTGACACTATGTTTTCTTTACTGAATTTGACAGAGAAATGATGAGAGAATATGATTAAGACTTTACATTAATGTTTTTTTGCAACTTTTAGTGGGAGAAATCAGCTGGGAAAAACACCCTTTTTCATTTGATTTTTCAGGTAAATACATAATCCAGTGGTTGGCGAGGGTCGATCAAAATTGACAATTTCTCATCCAAGAATTCACGACAAACACATTGTTTTATTTAAATCAAGTAGTACCTCCTCTTCAATGTACATACAATCGCTGACTCGTTTTGCACTCAACAAAGCGCTAAAAACTGGTTATTGATTCAGTCAATCTGCTTTCAGAAAAAATTGGAGCTATACTGTGCCAAAGAGGAACAAAAATTAATATTTCTTTAGTTTTTCTTGTCAGTGAGAGACACCATTTTGCGTAACCCCTAAAATTGAATGAAATTTCCTGATAATTGGTCTGAATGTTACTTAGGAACAATGTAACAAAATAAAATTTGTGGAGCAAACAATTTCACAACTTTATTTTTTTGGACCCGTCTAATGTACAAGCATATACAGTGGACCCTCGACTTACCACATTAATCCGTTTCAGAGAGCTCAGCATTAGATGAAATTATCATAAGTTGAATTAATTTTCCCCATAAGAAATAATGGAAATCCTGTCAATCCATTCCAGACACACAAAAGTATGAAAAAAAAATTTTTTACCACATGAAATATACATTTTCCTACACACAAAAAGAAGGATACATGCACAATATACTATACTAAATGAAGAATAAATGACACTTACCTTTATTGAAGATGTAGTGATGAGCGATGAGACACTGTTTTTCTTGAACACGCTTGGATTTTCAGAGTGATACATGAGTAAAGGCTTCACTTTGCAATCCCCACTAACATTACAACAAGACATGAGAGTTAGCCTGTCTTTCACAGGCTTGTGTCCTGGGAGTGCCTTTTCCTCCTGAGTAATGTAGGTCCTGTTTGGCATTTTTGTCCAGAACAGGCCTGTTTTGTCACAATTAAATACTTGTTGGGGTAGGAATTTTTCAGCTACACCATGCCTTATCACACTGTGTATGCCACTATGATTCTTAAATCTCTCAAACCAACCTTTGCTGGCCTTAAATTCACCAACATGAGCACTAGTTCCAGGCATTTTTTCTTGTTCACCTGGGTGTTAGTCAACTGTTGTTGGTTGCATTTTGGGGGACAAGATTAACCCTTTCAGGGTCCAAGGCCCAAATCTGGAGTCACGCACCAGTGTCCAAGAATTTTAAAAAAAAAAATTTGTTATTTTTTCTTATGAAATCATAGAGAATCTTTTTGTGAAGGTAATAAAACAAAAAGTACCAAATTTGGAAGAAAATTGACGAAATTATGCCTCGCGAATTTTGATGTGTCAGCAATGTTTACGAATCGGCGATTTTGCCGACTTTGACTCCCATTTTAGGCCAATTACATTATTCCAATCAACCAAATTCTTAGTTATTTCACTATATTATTTCAAATTCTTTTGATTGAGCACAAGAAATCGCCAAGTCAACTTTTTTCAACTACAAAATAAAGTGATCGGAAATTGTTAAATTTGGCCAATTTAAACACAAAGTTCAAAAAAATTTCCAATTTCAAAATAGGGTTCAGAATAAACAATGTAGGCATTCCTGGCACAAAACTAACATTTCCTCTGTTCATTAGTTTATGTTTGAGGCTTTACAAATAAATTCCATTTGATTTTTTATTCAGAAAATGAATTTTTATTCACACCAAAAAATAGAAGTTTTACTGTTATGCAATACTGTAATAATTGTATAAATACATCACCATATTTGTGAATGTATATTAGACCCACCAGCTGACGTGTATTAGACGTGTGAGGTCGTTTTTTACTCTTGAATATCGGCAAAAATTTAACATTTCCGCTACTTTGAGCTCATTTTTCAAGCCATTTCCAGTGCTAAAACCATGAAAATCATCCTATTTTTGTGATATGTCTTCCATTCTAAACAAATGAGACCAAGAAAAACGCAAATAAAAACTATAAAAACATATGAAAAAACACTGCAAAGTTGCTGTTTTAATCGAAAAATCATGATTTCAGTTTTTCTCTCTCATTATACACAGTGTGCTGCAGGATCTGTTTTATGTGGTGCACACATACCACATAGATGTATTCTCTCATATCTAGGCCCAAATGTACCACTCACAGTTTATCAGAGTAAGCTGAGCTCATGGCGTAGATCTACGGTTTGGACACTCACCGTAAAGCCGTAGATCTACGGGACGGACCCTGAAAGGGTTAAGGACCCCAAAGGAAATAAGTTAGACAGTCCTCGATGACGCATTGACTTTCTTGGGTTATCCTGGGTGGCTAACCCTCTGGGGTTAATTGTTTCTTGTCAAGCCACACCAACAACAGTCTCTCCACACCTTCGAGTAGTACAGCTGATGGTGGTGCAGCAGCAGCTGACCGTGGTACGATAGTATTTCAATAGTATTTCTCACACTTTTTACCACAGGGTTGGCACTAGAAGCTTTCTTTGGACCCATGGTGACTTATTTAGCAGTTACAAGCACTAAAAACAATGGAATAATACAAAATTTATCGAATGTATGCATGCAACCATCCACCCTGGCTTGTAAACAATGGCATTAGCTGAGCTGAGGCACTCTGGCCAGATGGACTGTGTTTGGGATGAATGATGTAAGTCGAGTTTTTCTTCGGTCGGGGAAAATTTTTTACACTGAAATGCTTCGTAAGTCAATTTTATCGTAAGATGAGGCCGTCGTAAGTCGGGGGTTCACTGTATATATACATCCCTCTGGGTTTTCTTTCATTTTTCTTACTAGCACTTATCCTTGCTTATTTCCTCTTATCTCCATGGGGCAGTGGAACAGAGTTCTTCCTCCATAAGCCATACATGTTGTGAGGCGACTAAAATGCCAGGAGCAAGGGGCTAGTAATCCCTTCTCCTGTATATATTACTAAAGTTATAAAGAGAAAGTTTCGCTTTGCATTTTGGACCACCCTGCCTTGGTGGGATATGGCCGGTTTGTTGTAAGAGGAAGAAGAAGAATTTATTGCAAGTTTTAGTAAGACAATTCACTACATCATTATGGAGGGTATTATGATGCTGATCAAATACAAATATAAATATTAACCTAAATACAGTAAACTGAAGGACCATATAATGAATAGAATCTCAATCAAAACTTGTATTTTATTTTTATAAAAACAAAATACAATAAGTTTTGATTGAGATGCTATACATTATTTGGTCCTGCAGTTTATTGTATGTACTAGGCTCTAATACTCAAATTTAGGTAATCAATCAAAACATATAATGTACTATCATATACTATACTTAAAATTTACTCACTCAATTCACAATAAAAGCCACAAAAAGAATATATAATTGTAAAGTATAACAGAGTGAGTGTTACTAATTACTTAAATAATAATACAAATATGAGATAGTATATACATGTACTTGTAATAATATTTAGGAGTTGCAAGGAAGCTGGAAGATCAGAGACACAACTAGATCAAAATATCAGGTTTCAGGATTTGTTTGACATAGCATATTGCTGTAAAGATCACATTAAGGTGAAGTGGTGCTTGTTAATAATAGGTTTGAAGTGGCTGGCTGATAAGGAACCTTCAGAATGTTCAGGCAGAGAGTTCCAAATCTTAGAACCTTTTATGTGCAGTAAGTTTTTACACAGGTTGAGATGGACACAGGGAGGTCCAAGACTTTTGTGCCTTGTGTTATGCTTGTGAGTTCGGTTGCAGATATCAAGGAATAGCTTCACTGCAAAGTCTTTATTAGAATGACCTGTCCTGTGCATATAGCAGGCACAGTAATATTAGTGAATATTATATACATCATCTTCTTTCAACAAACCGGCCGCATCCCACCAAGGCAGGGTGACCCAAAAGGAAAAACACAAGTTCCTCCTTATAAATTTAGTAATATATACAGGAGAAGGGGTTACTAACTCTTTGCTCCCAGCATTTTAGTCGCCTCTTATGACATGCATGGGTTACGGAGGAAGAATTCTGTTGCACTTCCCCATGGAGGTTAGAGGAAATAAGCAAGAACAAGAACTAGTAAGACAGAAGAAAACCCAGAGGGGTGTGTATCTTTGTGCTTTAACATGTATGTGTAGTGTGACCCAAGTGTAAGGAGAAGTAGCAAGACATACCTGAAATCTGCATGTTTATGAGACAGAAAAAAGACACCAGCAATCCTACCATCATAAAAAACAATTACAGGCTTCCATTTATCCTCACTTGGAAGGATGGTAGTACCTTCCTGGGAGGTTGCTGTCTACCAACTTTAAGGAGCAAGAGTGTGTTGTCTGCCACTAGACTGGCTGATCATTTGAACAGCCAGTCTAGTGTTGTTCAAATGATCAGCCAGTTTTGGTTTTTAAGTGATTTGCTGTAGCAACTCCCCAACCACAAGTACAATAGGTGAGGTAAGGACAGACTGGAGAGTAGTACAAAGTCAGCAGTGCTGTTTGAGGTACATAATAACATTTCTTTGAGAGGATGCCAACTGGTTGAAGACCTTCTTTGTTATATGCTGGATATGAGTATTGAATTTAAAGTTGAATATTCTAGAAGGGTACAGAGGAAGGGGGTATAAAAAATTCATTAAAATCACCACAAGCAAACACTGATGAATACTGACCATAAAGGTCTTTGAGCTCAGGCCTGAGGATGATGACAGCGATCTGGATGCCAGGGAACAGCATCTGAAGTTGAAAGAGTTCCACAACAGGTAATGGATCCTTCCTCATTATCTGTATGCACGGTTCATCTATCTTCATTCCAAGCTTTCTCCCCATCTCAATCATGCCATTCACGAATGGTCTGGTAAGAATAAAGGCACAGAGTTAGAGTATTCTTTACACAATAAAGTCATGGGGTCAGAGCATTCTGGAAAAAGATGAAGGAACGGTGTCAAGATGCGGTGGACAAGATGATGATGATGATGATAATAATATATTTCTACATGTACAAGGTACACAAGCCTAGCTGACATCAATGACATACTACTATAGAGAAAGCCCCTTGTTATACCTGGAGTATCATTGGAAGGGTTTCGAGGATCAATGCCCCCATGGCTTGGTCCATGACCAGGCCTCATGGTGGATCAGGGCCTGATCAATGAAGCCGTTACTAATGGCCACATGTAAACTGATGTACAAACCACAGCCCAGCTGATCAGGTATTGACTTCAGGTGCCTCTCCAGCACCTTCTTGAAAATAGCAAGGGGTCTATTGTATGCTGGGAGGCAGTTGAACAGTCTTGGCCCCTGACACTTGTTGTGTTTTTCTGTTAGTGTATTTGTGGCACCCCCCCCGCTTTTCACTGAGGGAAAGTTGCAATCTCCTGCCGTGTCTTTTGCTTTCGTAGGGAGTGATTTTTCATGTGCAAATTTGGTACTAATCCCTCTAGGGTTTTCCAAGTGTATATTATCATGAATCTTTCTTGCTTGTGTTCCGGGGAATACAAATCAAGGGCCCACAGGTGAGAAAGATACACGATAATATACACTTGGAAAATCCTAGAGGGATTAGTACCAAATCTGCACATGAAAATCACCCCTATGAAAGCAAACGTACTCGGCAGGAAAATGCAACAAACCCCTCAATTCAATTCAATTTAAGTGAGATGCTACATGAACATAGAAAGGTGGAAATTGAAGAGAAGACAAGAGCGAATGTAGGCGAAGAGAGTGGGACGGAAAGTAAACAGGGGCGGCGAACAAATAAAGAAAAGTCTACTAATATCAGTGACCATTCTATAAATGGAAGGGTGCGGAGATCATGAGAGCGTACATAGTAGCAAAGGCAATGGGGATCACGGCGATCGGATAAGGATGGAACGTTCACTTCTGCATAGAGGCTCTCAACAGGGGAAGAGCGAAAAAGCACCAAGGCATAAACGTAACCCTTGGTGATGAAAAGGGTTAAGGCTAGGAGAGTAAGCAGGAGAGGCCGCTGAATAGATTTGGTCACCATAATCAAGTTTCGATAAAAAGAGGGTGGAATTTTAGGTGAAGGAGAGTTCGACGATCAGCTCCCCATGAAAAATGAGCAAGGGTTTTAAGAAGGTTCAGCCGGCTGTGACAATTTGCCTTCAGAGAGGTAATGTGAGGTTTCCAGGATAACCTACAGTCAAAGAGGAGGCCCAGAAACCTGATTATCACGTTCAGGGATACGGGAGGCCATAGAAGTACAAAGGAAGATCAGAGATGACAGAGCGTCTAGTGAAAGTAATTTGGTGAGTTTTGGTACTGGAAAATTTAAAACCCATGTGTGTTTGGCCCAATTGGAAACACGGGCGAAAACCCCATGCTGGAGAGAAACTGTAAAAGGTGACAGTCACGCCCCACAGGCAATAGCGAAGTCATCAAATAGAGTGAGACCAAATTTTTATGGAAGACAAGAGCCAAACATTTAAGCAAGGAGAAAAAGTTTGTCTCAGAACACATCCCTGGGGACACCTTCAGCTTGGATAAACCCGGGGAAGCACATTTCAACCCGAACCGGAAATGCCCTGTCAGTTAAAAAGTTCTTGGGAAGGATGGTAGATTGCCTCGGGGCCTAAGGAGTGGGCTTAACAAAATATTATACTCCAATTGTTTCATAGCCTTCTAAAAGGAAAAAAATTTGGGCAATAATAGGGGTTATTCCAAAGGCATTATGAACATATTATCCAAGCAAGTAAGGGGTCTAGGTAGTTTCCCCTTACGAAACCATATTGACAGTTGAGAGACGTTGTGTGTCCTAAATACCACACAAACGTCTATTTCCCGGGCTTTCCATCATTTTGAAAACGCACGGGAAAAAATGGACGATAGGGGAGGCTTCATTTCCTGTAGGCCCGTTTGCGAAAGGGAGAACAATGGCGATTTCCACAGCTTGGAAAACCCTTTTGCCCAAAATAGATTAAAAGGTGAATGGACTGAAAGGGGCTGACTGATTAAATTTTTGAGCATAAATAAAAAGTTGTGGGGTCCCTCCCGATGATCGGCAAGCTGAGAGTGTTGCCTCCATTCTTGAAGTGTAAAAGGCACATTATACTGTTTTTCTCTAAGAAAAAAGTCCAAGGTGCTAACTCTCTGGCGATTTTTGGGGAAAAGAAACAGGGGCATAGATGGAGTCCCTGAGAAATATGGACCAATGATTTTCCAATTTCATTGGGAACATCTAGTGGGTTTGCATTTCAACCCCAGCAACCCGCAGAACAGGACCGGGGCAGAAAAAAATTTACCACTCGTTTTCGTACTTTTTTTCCCCAAAGCGCTCATAGGGGAAGCAGAGGTGATGGTGGAACAAATCCGCCACAATGCATTTAGCATCACGGATGACACACGAGTGATGCCGCTTCGCTTAAAATCAAGAAGTCCTCCGGGGTTCTATTGTACTGGTACCTGCCCCACCAGTGCGTTTAAACCCGTACTGCATGAGCACAAGCAGGAAACACCGTGGCAGCTTTCGAGAATCCCTGCCCGAAGTTTGGGGTTTAAAATGAGAAGCTCGGTTAAAACGGGGGACGAGTAGAGGTGTACTGAAAAGCTCACAAGGGAGGACGAAAAAGGGAAACCCTCACAAAAACAGTTATTCTGAAAAAAGGTTCCAATTTGCCTGCAAATTCCCAGGGGGGATACGAAGAGGTGGTGAATATAAGGGGAATAAAATGTTTGGGGAAAAGATCACTGTCAGTAAACGGGAGAAAAGACCAGTGAAGTCAAATGCAGCGGGGAAGGGCAGACGAGAGATCGATGCAAGAGAGTGGAGTCCGGGATCAAAATGGGTGTGAGTACCGTATTTAACCCTTTCATCCGCCCGTAGATCTACGGCTTCACTTTGAGTGTCCAAACCATAATCTACACCAAAATTCTAGCGCCGTCAAATTTAGCTGAAACGCTCATAGGCCTACATGGAGAGAACGGGTCGCATGGTGGGGTGCACCTAAAAAAAAAATCTAGGCGCCCGCATAGCATGTGGGAACCCACTCAGTCACCCTGTTCACCAGCCCGTTGAATCAGCTCTCACCCCCAAAAATTTGGGGACTCTCCTCTTCCATCTGTAGTTCTGACACTATGGAAGTGGAAAAAAAGACAAATTCTAGGGCTTTGATCATTAGTGACCGAAAAAAATGACCGGGATATCGATAATAGTGCAGAAAAACCCGACGACCCTCAACCTTCTCCCTCGGGTTTGGGGGGCACTCGTGACTCACGGGGTTGTTCCTCAACGCAAGGAAAGCAAATATTTTCCGTGGCCAGGCCTCTGACTTCAGTAATGATATGATGTGAGGGGATTGTTTTTTATTGCGCTCAACGATCATTCGAGTAGTGAAATTTAGGAATAAATTTTCACCAGTGAAGCTGGGTTTTCGCCGCCGCATGCACTCGATGGGTTTCCCCTATGCTGTCCCAGGGACGGAGACACCCCGGTACACCCCGGGAGTACCCCCGTGGCCCTCACCATTTTAGGTAGTGATATAAGATTGGCTACCTTGGCATGGAAAACCCACGGGCATCATGGATGGGGTATGGGATGGTATGGCACTGCCATTTTACTCACCAGCCCAGCGGACCCACGCGCGACCGTCAGTTAAAAGGACAAACGGAGCTCAGCCACCCCCCCACCACAACCAAAAACCACCCCAAAAACCCGCCTATGAGCCAGTTCCACCAGCAAACCGAGTGGGATTGGCACAAAATCCCAATTTTTCCCAAGCCCACCATTTTGTGACTCTCAAAGGGGAAATTCTACCATTTTCCCCCTTTGGGAACCACAGCCAATGAACGGGAAATTCTTTGAATTATCTTTGACCACCATTGAGGAAACTATTGTCAGGGAAAGTAATAAGTATTTTGATACACCATGGAAAATACGATCATATCACCACAGCAAACTACACAGGGGGAAAGAGACACTGTTGCAGAAAAGAAATTTGCTTTTTGCAACAAAATCTTATCCCTCTGTCTAAACAAAATAAAAGCATCTGGTCCACAGATCGCTAATTTCTCCCCCGGCCCTTCATTGAAATCAACCAGTGAACATTAAAACTTACGTTATGTATGTTGCATTTCTCTGACAAAACCGGCCTGACAGAAGTGACAGGTTATACAAATTGAAATGTTTTAATTATCTCAAAAAAAAGTTCAAAAAATTATTTTATCCATTCAAAACTTGTAATTGACGACTTTGATTTTTTCAAAGGTAGCGTCATTAAAGCATATATCCCGAGCAAGGGGAAACCTTTGGTAAAAACTGTTTGTACTCTTACGTGACAGTGGCCCCTGGGTTGGATATTTTTATACCGGGAAGTAAAACATTGAAAGATACCAAGATTTTTTGGGGTATCTCAGGTGCGAGTGGAAACATGATGGCCCCTTTATCTTGGAAAGGGGCAACATTAAATACCGATAACGGGTACACGAGCCCATTATCAGAAATTTCTGCAAGGAACAAGAAGATGTGGTGCACAGTGCGTTTTAATCGAAACATAGCCCAGCTCAAGAAGGTGCTCAGGTGTGAGTGCAGGTGTTAAACTCCCAATGACACATGGCTTTAAACGGGGGGCATGACAAACAGATGTCACATTGTTCCAACCATTCACCGAAATAAAAAGCAAGACATGGCAAAGTTGATCGAGTGACAATGAACTATTTAAAAACCATGACAGTGATTGTTTATACACAAAACATCCCTTTGGGTTTGAAAAATTGGACATGCAGATTGGTTTTTTTGACGTGTTCGTAAAGTTACAAGTGGTACTGAAACTTTTCTTCCATCTCAGGGACATTTAAATGCTCAATGCATGTAATTTACCAAAAAAGACTGGCAAC